TCCACAATCTCTTTTTGGTTCCCATGACCGAATTGGTGGTCAACCTTTAAAAATTCATAGAAATGTCGAATGTGTTGCTTTGGGGTGTACTGAATTCTGGTTTTGTTGTTCAAGTGACTTTCAGCATGACATTCTGCAAGGTAAGTTAATGCTCAGGAGATTAATATATCCTCTTCTGAACTTTATACCCTTAACATGTGTAATAAGTGTACAGATGATGTGACTGTGATTCACTGTGTACCTGACATCCTCAATTACTCTTTGCAGAGCTTGTGGATTGAACGTACAACTCTGACCTTGACTCACAGTTTGCCTGGGATCTCTCGTTGGTTTGAAGTGGAAAGAAGAGAACTGGTAATGCTCATAGTTCCTGTAATTTGGGTTTGAAATTATGAGTTACTGAGGGCATGGGATAAGCGACTTACAACTCCTTTGACTGAAATCTTGCCGTTTGAAGTGATGAAGTTTACCCATGATTAAATATGTCTTTTGTACACCACTTTATCTAAATAATTGCTGGGGAATTACATTGAGAGAACATGACAGTCTAATAGAGAGAGTGCCCAAAAGATGGAATAATTGCATTGTTGCCATGTCTTCAGTATACAGAAAGAAGTTATCACAACTCAGTGACCTGAAATACAGCATTGCCAACAGTGAAATTTGTTAATGTAGCTAATTTTCTACAAAGCATTAAAAACTTAGAGATCACTGAAGAATCTTAAAGTGTCATTTCATTACAAGGAAGATGATAAATCTCAGGTGTCCATGGAATTAAAGTGTATTCTATTGCCTTTGAGGTTGAAGTAAGTCCTTTGGAAAATGCCATTCAAGTGGTTGAGAACAAAAACCAGGAGCTGAGAACACTGATAAGCCAGTACCAGCATAAACAAATGCATGGTAACATCAATCTTCTCAGCATGTGTCTGAATGGAGTGATTGATGCAGCTGTCAATGGGGGAATTGCACGATACCAGGAGGTAAGCCAGGCTCTGCTTTGGAATTTAGTATCACCTTCTTTCGCTTTTATTTCCATTTCTGTTTCAAAGAAAGTATGACTTAATAAGATAAGAACCTTTCATGCATATTGTCTAAATCTGAGGTTAATAGCCATGCTTGGTTATTCTGTGTCAGTGCTTGCATAGCCCCATGTCAACAGGAGGGGCAAAGGTGGAGTTGGGATGTGGCACTGAAGTAGGTATGGTTGGCAGTGGGGTTTCTCAAGAATGAAACTTGGCTTACCTGAGAATCCTCACTTGGCAGGTAAGAGTGAAGCAGATTTTTTTATACTGCTTACATTATAAATCCATTTTGCAGTAGAGTGGGTGGGAATCATGATGACTGGGACTGTAATCACAAAAAGCTGCTAATTCATGCTTCTCAACTATTATCTTTGCTAGCCTAATTTCAGACTCACTGTAACCCTAAAGTGATATTATATGCACTATGTTATGTGGCATAATCTCTGGCAAACTGTTACTTAAACTCTGCATTGCAAAAGGTAAGTCTAGGGTGAAATACTGAAAAATGGCAGCAGTGGTCCAGGGGTGTGGTACCACATCTTCTCCACAGAGCCAGGAAGAGAACGCTTGTGGTGCTTTACATCAGTTACCACTTGACTCACTGAGCAGTTTTCACTTCAGGCTGTTACGTGGAGGAAACAATAGCAAATGCAGGTAACTGGATGAGATGAGGCTTAGCGGTGTCACCACTGTCACATGGGGAAACTTGGCCAGATTCATGTTTCAGCAGAACCGCCTGGGCTGCCAAAACTACCGTAGCTTTGCATGGATCCCAGAGTGCTAAAAGCAATAAAACTGAGCTGCTGCTGATAGCCTAATATATTTAGTTTTTCTAAGATTTTTGGACCTTTGCCTCTCCACCTTTAACACCTAGTTACACTGAAATATCTTCCAATAAGCAGAAGGCTTTTTCTTCCCTTTTCCTACAGGCCTTTTTTGATAAAGATTATATCACAAAGCACCCTGGAGATGCAGAGAAGATCACACAGCTCAAGGAACTCATGCAGGAACAGGTACTGGTTTTCACATGCAAAAGAGTATTGCTACTGTGTCTGAATTCATCTCCAGTCAGTCTAAACATACCAGATCCAACTGATTCATTCAGAAGCAAAGAATTTTGGTACAGGAAATCTAAAGTACATTTAAACAAAAAATAGGGGAGATAGCAAATGAGTTTATGAACAACCCATTCAGCTTCCGGGACACAAGGTGAAGCTCAGCTGAAAGTGCAGTAATTGTGTTATCTCCGTTTATTATCCAGCAGATCTCTTGCCATGTTTCAAGCCTGCCATTCATTTTTGGCATTTTGAATTATGTCTTCCTGGTAATTTTCAAAGATATTCAGAGGCAGGACAGATGAGGCTTGAGATTAAGCTGGCAGAGCAACATGGGAAAACTTAATGTCTGTTTATATTCTCTGCAGTTTTTATTTTTCCTTAGTCTATCCATGAAACATCTTGGTAGATAAAGCTAGCTGGATGCTTTGATGGGAGTAAAATCAGAAAATCTCATCACTCTTAACAGAAAGTTTGGCAAGATATGCCCCATTAAACAATGTGTCCCAGTCTGAATAGAGCTACTATCCTTTTTTCTTCAACAAATCACTTAACTGCATTTCAGATTTCCCCTCTGTAAAACAAAGATAATGCTTATCTCCCTTCAATCCTCAAGAGGATGTTTGAAGACTAATTAGTTATTGTTTGTACAGACTTGGATCATGTAGGGAATTACATACATCCTAAGCCTGCTAGCATTACTATTTTCTGTCATCTGAGGGCTTATATAATGTCATTCAATCACTAATATTATATGTTTGACCTTTGAAAAAGCGACCTTTAGAAAATAAATAACAAGCAACAGAAAGGAGTGACTGTGCATGCCATGCCACACTGCCACTGCCCAGCTCAGTTATTAGAAACTCCTTCTAGAAATCTCCATCGGCAGCTTCGACCTCTTCTCTGATACTGGGCGGGAGGAATTTGTCACAACGCATTATCTGTGTGAGGATGGAATGCTGTTCACTCCGGAGAGAGAATCGGATAATTTTTTTACCATTGTCTCTTAACAAGTAATCCAACATGACATAAATGTGGTTGTCTCACACTTAAAGTACTTGTTGAAGTAATATGAACTTGCCACGTCTCCTAGGCCTGCTTAATTATCAGCAGCCTTGTAAATGAACAGTGGCATGTTTTACAATGCTTTCTTGCTCATAGCCAGAACTCTGGGACAGGCTTCTAGTCTATCTCTTAAACACAATTTATTGGGGTTTGTGATGCTGTGTTTTGTTTTTAACAGGTGCATGTCTTAGGAGTGGGTCTGGCAGTCCATGAGAAATTCGTACACCCAGAAATGCGTCCCCTGCATAAGAAACTGATAGACCAGTTCCAGATGATGCGATCCAGTCTGTACCATGTAAGCTGACAGTCAGTTTTCCCATTTTGAATTATTCAGTTACAGTTAAACTCCTGTCAGTTGCATTAAGGTTCACAAAAGAAATGGGCTGATAACAGCACTGATTGAGCCTACTGGATTGCCATATTATCAAAAGAATTCTTGATCTCTGTGCAAAATTTTGTCCTAGTAAGTATGTTAACTTCCCCTTTAATTTAAACTAGAATTTTTAATATTTGTACGTTCTTTGTTGCATCACAAAACAATCGTAAAGCTGAGTTTTCAGTTACTGTCTAATAACAGAAAATTATATAAAGCAGGGGAAGGAGAGATTAACAGAAAGTACCAGAGGTTGAGCTCTTTGAAAGAACTGCTGTAATTTGGAGTAGCATGACATGGATTAGGCCCTCCAGAAGTGGTTTTATATAGACAGTGACAGAAATTACTGTTGGTTATATTAGGCATCCCACTCTGGTGATAAGGACATACATTATTATAGGTCTGTAGTTCCTGTATGTTTGATGGAACTTCCTCCAGAGCATGATTGCCACCACCTCTTATACACCAAAAGTACAAATGTCGTCCTCTCTAGAAGTGAAACATTTCCTTCTCTGTGTCCTCTGCTGTGTATTAGCATTGCAAGACAACTATCTTTGCCAGATGGGTCTCAGAAATTTGCAGCATGTTCTCCTCTCACTCTCTCTCACATAGTGAAGCACGGATACCTATACACTGTCTCAAACATTATCATAACCAAACTGAAGGGTAGCTTTCTGTAATGTAAAAGAATTATTTGAAGTATGTGTGTTAGCACTTTACTTTCCAACTGGAATATGCACTAAGGTAGCTTCTAACTCGAAGGCTTTTTCCTTTATTCTTAGGAGTAAACACTGTGCAAGGATGGCCAGAAATAACAGCACCAGAATTTTTATCTACAGCCTTTCTCTTTCAAAGCAGATGAGATCCATACAGGTCACAGTAACCAGTTTGAGTTCACTACCTTTCTTGAGAGTTTGGGCAAGATCTGTATTTTCGAGTCCACATTTCTTTTTTCAAAAATGTAGGTGGCTGTAATTTGGGTCTCACTGTGCCTCCATTTTCTTCCCAAATTCCTGAAATAGTGGCTAGAATGTGTTTGGAAGTAGAGAATGGTGTTGTAAAGCACTGATCTTCTTTATCCTGTGGAAGCACACGATATCTCAGGGTAACTGTAAAGAACATGGGAACAGGATTTTCCTGAGAAGAAAACTTGTGATTTGCTCTGACCAACTTAGCTAAAGTACGTTTCCTCTGCAGGAGTTACCTGGTTTGGATAAGCTGAGTCCAGCCTGCTCTGGCACTAGTACACCACGCAGCAATGTTCTGGTCTCACATGGACCTATGAGCCCAGAGAGCATAAAGCTGATGCATCGACACAGGTACCATGTTTTTTTCTTCTGAAACATCTACAATCTCTGCACACTGTTGCATTAAGATTCAAGGAGCTTCAAAGAGGTGTTAACAGAGGAGCAAAAGGAGAAGGATGAGTCTTGGCAGAAGTGCCTTTTGTCCTCATTCAGTGCTAATTATTAAAGTTTGAGGACTGGAATCCAAAGGTTGAGAAATGCACTTTGCAGCAAGTGCTGAACACCTCCAAGTGTTACTCCATCGCTTCACTTCTGTACAGGCAGAAACACATCTGCCACTCGGATCTCCAGATTCAGTCTGTCTTTGGAGGTTCCAACTTCTCCCACTTTCACTACACAAACAGCAAATCGATGGGTATTGCCTACCATAATACTGCTTGTTTTAGAACCCAGATCGGTATACATCCATTCTTAAGGAACAAAACATTTTCACGTCATTGTTTTTTATAATTTGGATCAAATCAGAACCCAAATATAAGGAAGGCTGCCAAGGTGTTTTTATCAGAATGCCAACAAATGGCTCAGCTTTCAAAGAAACACTTGAAAATGGGAGTACTTATTCAAACTGATTATTTGTCTATAAAATCCCAAGATGAGCATAAAAATTGGGAGTTTCAGGGCAAAACAATGTTTTTATATCCAGCTACAATTGTTTACTTGCAAATGTATATGTCTGTGCCAGTATGAGGAACAGTGACGGCAATGTCCCTGAAGTTAGGAATTTTTAACTGTTCTTCCGTGTTTATTTCTCTTGGTGGGTCTACGTAGCGCAGCTGCTCTTAAAGCCTGGCATGAAAGGCTGTGGGAGCTTGGTCTTGAATACTGTACTACTTCAGTGGCTTGGCAGGTGACTGTTGGCGTCTGGATGATAAATAATTATTCCTCAAAATTTCACACTTTTATAAAGGCTTTTTTAGTGCTTAAGGCAATCTAAGGAGATTCTATAGTGAATAAAATATGTATTGGTGTGATTCACAATATCACATCCATGAACGTGTTTTTTTCTTTGTATGTGACAAACTAAACACTAATTTAATGGGTGAGATCAGGGTGCAGCCTGCACACCAGCTGGGCTGCGTTAATTTGCTGTGAGCTACAAAGTTGCCTTCAGTTGGAATGCTGAGGCCCAACAGATGCAATAAGGAAAACTCTTTTGACCTGTGTCTCTCCTGTTTGGCTTCCTTTGGAATGTTGTTTTTTAAAGCTGCTCCCACTCATCATACTTCAGTGATAAAAATGAGAGTGATTTCAGAATGTTCAGTTATAAATAAACCACATATGCAAATTATTATAATAATAAACAAATTATAAACAAACCAAAATCTAGTGTCACAATGTGGTGTTAACCTGGCTTTGGATTCTGAAATTCTACATCCTACCTATTATGTGGTCTTACATGTGTTCTTATTGTCACTTCCTTCATATACATTTATGGATTTATTTAAGCTTATTTGGCCTGATTTTTCAAAAGTGTTTTGACATACAGAGGTGACCTCAAGCAGTAGACAACTGTACGTACTTACTAGCTTGGCAAAAATTGGGCTTCACAAATTAAAACACAGTTTCAGAAAATAATTACGCTCTTGTTTTGTCTCTGTTTTCATTCCAGCCCACTGAACATGCTTGGTTCAGTCCGACACTCCTCATCCTCTCTGTCGTCCCACACCTCCAGTGAAACAGGAAACCTGGTTATCCTAACAGACAGTTCTGTGGGGGAGGCTGCCGAGGACATGTACCACATGCAGGTACCCGGCCGCACAGCCGGCTCTGGCTGTGGGGCGGCGCCGAGCTGCTCTGCGGGGCTGGGTGCGGGAGGAGCGGGTTTCGCCCGTGCTCGCGCTGGGGTCTGTCCCGCCGCGTTTGTCTCAGAACTGAACAGGCAGGATCCATAACTCAATTCAAGAAAGAAGCCCGAGTAATTCAGCCAGGTTTACTCCCGGAAGAAGGGTTCTGTATTTGTACAGTGGAAGTTGGTACTGTGGTCCAAGACAGTACTGTTGCTTTCAGAAAGTGAGGTGCTAGTCAGCGTGTTATTTATCTGACCTGTTCAACACAGGCAGCTGGTATCGCTCGGGGTTTGGGGAAGGGTGACATGATCCCAGTCATGAGTGCAGATGGCTAGTGGCCTGCACTGAAGCTATTCCTAGCCAGAGGCTGTGCTGGGTGATCTGAGGCCAGTAGCTATCTAATGCACTGATCCACTCGATTCTCCCCTGATGGTTTCTCTGCCTCCTGCAGTGTGTTTACCCTAAATCCAGGTACCAGGGCTCAGTCACCAATGTCTCTATTTTATCCTTGTCCCAGGCTAGCCCTTCCACCTCAAGCCTGAGCTCTACTCACTCGGCACCATCCCAGATGATTAACTCTGCCCCTTCCAGTGCTCGAGGTAAGAATGGATGGGCCCAAATGAAGGGTTAGCTGGACCTGCAGGCATCCCCTAAACCTGGCAACCTCACTGATTTACTGGGGAAAGACCACCTACACTGAGAAATACACCGTTTCTCTTTTGGACTTATAAATGCCTCCTCAAAAATTACTTCTTAAAATTGTTTTTCATTCTCCAGAAATTGATTTAATTCTTCTTTTTAGCATAATTTTGGATATATCTCTAATACATGCTGGTTTCAGGCAGTTGTGTTTCATAATGATTTCCATTGTTCCGCCACAAAATTGTGGCAGGCAATCTGTAGGAAAACAAGAATAGTCTTTGGTACAGTACTTAAAAGAGAGAGATCATGAAGACAAAAGCAAAAAAAATCACATTATACATTTAATCAAATTACAGCACAAAAAAGAACTTGAGGCAGTTAGTTGAACTGTGTGTATACAAACGCATATGTATATGATGAATGTTGAAAGATACAAATTTTAAGTACTGGAGTTAAAGAAGGGCTTCCTGCTGGGAAATTCTTGAGAAAAGGAAACGTGCAAAAGCAAACCAGGGGTACTCCCTGTTGCTTTACAGCAGCTGGTCTTGATGCTACTAACCTTTTTCTTCCCAAGCCTCAGAGCTGAAGCCAAACCATGTCATGCAATCACTTACCTTTGGTAACATCTATTCCAGGATTTTGGGGTCTTTACCTCCCCTCTTATTTTGAATTCTCAGTTGCAGCTTCATGAATTTCTACACCTCTTTTCACAGGCATCTGAAGAAGGTATCCAGGACACGGTCAGCCACAGAGGCTGATATTTAAATCTCACCCCTTCCTCCCATGCAGGGGAACCATATGTCTCCATATGGACAGAGAACAGAGAGAAGGGCGCTTTCTTTCGGGCCAGCCTGGGGCTTTTTTGCTCAGTCTTGCAGTATAATCTTGATTGAGTGGCTGTTGTTATAACACAGATGCATTTACAGTGATTTAATTGAAGGATCAGACAGAGTAGGAAGGTGAGAAGTGGACATCTTCAAATTAAGGCATATAGCTTCACTAATTACCAAGGGCTGGAAGGAGAATAATGACAATTCCAGTAGTAAAGTAACCAGATGAAACTGGCATAATAGAAATGTAATGGATGTGCCTCAGCTGGCATGTGAGCTCTGAGTCTTCTGGGAGATATGAGGGGGTTTGGCGCTTACAGCATCTCAGGCTGTTTTCCACTTTAAAAGTCCAGTGCTTACAGTGACAGGCTGTGACAGTCCTTCTGAGCTGGATGACTTCACAGCATCACCAGCTTCCCTCTTCACTGTATTCTTTGCTGTTGCTTAGAAACTAAACCGATGAATGCTGCAAAGGGAATGGTGCTAACGGATGAGCCAACAGCACCTCCCAGAGATGAGAACTAGACAGTGTAAATGACCACAAATGAGGGAACTAAGTAATGATTTTGAAAAAATACTTCAATATATGTATTTTATTTTTCACTCTTACTAGCATGTTTTGGTAGCCTATGACATAATATTTCTTCTCTGCCAGTTATGTTCACTTTAAAGTGAAGTGAGCACAGCATTCTGCCATTACCCACCAATTATGGGATTTCATTTCCAGTAAAGTCCCAGCTGCTCTCTGTGTTTCCCAGTGTGCAAGTCACTCTTGTGGTTATTACAACCCGGCTGCCTGGAATGGAGTTGTTTGTAACGAGAAAAAGCCCTTACACTTAAGTTCCGCTCTAATAATACAGCTCTGGTTTTCTCCTTGGTGATTTTTTCCTTTTGTTTTGTTTTTTAATTGGATGAGTTTGATGCTTGTGAAAAAGAGAGATCAGTATCACTGGCTGGAGCCAAGTGCTTCACAAACATCACGTGTGCAGCTCTACCAATGCACCTCTATCCTTTTTTTTTTTCCCTTTTTTTTTTTTTTTTGGTATTTATTTATATTCTTTTTAATTTAGTGCTGGTGAAAGGTGCTGGATTGACAACACTGGAGGCTGAAGCCCTCTATTTATCCACAGAACAGATACAGCATGGGCGGCAGCCGTGCAAGCTTCCCCACGCTGCCCCCACCAATGTGCCTCATCTCTGTCCTGGAGGGACCACCTCTAGAGGTGAGAGGATAGTTCAGTCACCATGACCCATCCAACCCTTGGCCTTTCTGCTGAGACTGCCAACAAATCTACAGTAGTCACGATGCTGCCGTTAACCACCCTTCAGACAGGAAGTATGTGAAGGCCAACCGTTCATTTCATACAGACTGCCTAAATTTATCAACTGAGCATCTTTGTCACCTGTGGCTGTAACCTGAGCGTGGTTATCTATGATTTCTAGGCTTTGGTCAGACATTTAAATGCTTCTCTTATTGATTCAAACATTTAATGTAGAGGTGAAAAAAAACACTAGCTCATTACCCAGATATTTAAACCACCTCCTCTGTTAAACTGCAGAGTCCTTTGTGGAGCTCAGCTACTAGCACTGTTGAGGATTCAGATACTTCTATAATCCAGATTAGTTCCATTAGTGACCAAAGGAATC